GTGCAAATAACTGAAAACACATATGCTCGGTGTAGCGCAGTTGACTTGACACAGGGTCTTGGCGAGGGTCTTCTGAGTGACAGCAGCAGAAAAGGAAAGTGAGCCCCTTGAGAGCAAAACAGGCCACAGACACACGGGGAAGCGCCCAAATACAGAGTGCCGATAAGACAGAGATGTTCACTCCGATAATCAGGGAAACATTAAAACAGACCTCTTGTTCCTGAGACATTGTCAGAGGTCATGGCTTTGGGAGGAACAGGAAGACAGGTGAGGAGTGCTGGGCCCTGGGCAGGTCAGGCAGGGTTGGGGGCTTTCCAGGGGCTTTTAGTGGGAGGTGATGGTGGGTTGTGGGGGTTTTGTAGGCAACAAAGAGAGTGGCAGCCACCACAGTGGCTTTCTGTGTGAGGGGCTGCCTGGCATGTGGCAGGCCTGGCACAGCTACCCACACGCCTGCTACCTTGTAGATCCTGGAGCCGGGCCGCAGGGAGCGGCTGGGGTTGAAGATGGCCAACGAGGCTGCCGCCAAGAACCGGGCCAAGAAGCAGGAAGCCTTGCGGAGAGTGACGGAGAATCTGGCCAGGTGAGGGGCTGCCTGGCTGGTGGGGAAGTGTGAGGGTAGCTCTGGCCTGCTCCTGCTTGGCCCCTGCCCTGACGGTGTGGAGGCATGGCCCATGCGGCAGAGTCCAGGGCAGGTCTGTGGGGTTCTGCAGTGGGTACTGTGGCAGCTCCTCTATCCAGAGCACGGCCACACATGGACAGGATGAGAGGCCCCCTCCATCTTCTCTTTCCTCCACGTCCTCTTTGGCCCATCCCTAAGAGGCATCTTTAGGCATGTGGTCCTGCTGGGAGCTTTCATCAGCCCTGTGGAGACGGCCATCGTTCCCCTTGGAGAGGGGTGGGGACTCCAACTCTCAGAGGCCTGGGGGTCCACCCCAGCCCCCACAGCCAAGGGCAGTGCTGCTGTTTGACCTCAGGTTTGACCTGAGTGCTGCTGTTTGACCTCAGGGATCCCCCGCATTTGCTGCCATGCCGGCAGTGCCATCCTTCTCAGCTCAGAGTGACTGTGTCTCTGTCCAGGCTCTTCCTGGGAGCCGAGGGAGGCCCTGCTGCTGGCAGCTCTCAGCCCACCTAACCCTGCCTCTCTCGTCCATCCCTTCACCCCAGCCTCACTCCCAAAGGCCTGAACCCAGCCATGTCCCCAGCCCTACAGCGCCTCGTGAGCAGGACGGCCAGCAAGTACACAGACCGAGCCCTGCGGGCCAGCTACACACCATCCCCAGCACGCTCCACCCACCTCAAGACCCCGGCCAGTGGGCTACAGACCCCCACAAGCACACCAGCGCCTGGCTCTGCCACACGCACCCCTCTCACGCAGGACCCGGCCTCCATCACGGACAACCTGCTGCAGCTCCCTGCCCGGCGCAAAGCCTCGGACTTCTTTTAGAGCTAGGCCTGGGCTGGGCCCATAGACGCTTCATGGAGCCTGCAGGGCAGCTGTACACCCAGCAGAGGACTCCAGCCTTCTCGGGGCCCAGGCCTGGGCCAAAGCTGTTTACTATGCCAGGAGCCACTGGAGAAAGGGGCTGTGCTGGGGCCAGGCTGGCACAGGACGCACAGGCCCACGCCACATCCCAGGGCCTTGCCAAGCTGTTTGCTGTTTAATCGGCCCCTTGAAGTGTCATTAAAGAACACCTGGTACAGTCTGGGGGTTGCCTCTCCATCCTGCTCCCCACACAAGCCCTAGCCTTGCCCTGGGGCCTACGTCGTGTCTCAGGACTGCAGGGCTTGAAGCGAGGGGCCCCCCAGGTGAGGAAGCTGGAGGTGGGGTGGCTGTGGGGGCACCGGATGACTCTGGCATCGCTTTCTGCAGCACCCGGAACCTGTGTTCTGAGCTGAGCTCACATCCTCCTGTGCTTTCTGCTCCTCTGGGGGGATGTGAAGGAGAAATGGAGCCCTTGGAAGTTGTACTCTCGGGTTCACCTGCAGTTCTGGGCCCAGGTCTGCAGCCTCCACTCTGGGCTTGCCTGCTGTGAGGTGCACTGGTTATAGGACTGTGTAGGGGCTGATATCAGGTGATCTCAGCCGTCACCTTCTCCCAGCCCTGGCTTCCAGCTCATGGGGTGGGACTGTCCCGCTCACCTCTCTGCCGTAGGCACTGCCCATCTTATGCTGCTGGCCCTGGCCTCACCTTGTCTCTCCCACCAACAGGAGCTCCCAGATAACAGTAATGTGGGCCCCAGGCTCCATGCAGACCTGGCAGGTCCTCTGTGCACTGCGGGCACACTTGCCCATTGGCCAAGGATATGGGTGTCTGACCCTTAGGAGTCTGGTGGCCTGACAGTCCTGTGCCTGCTTTCTGCAGAGGTAGAGGGGCCCAGCTGGGCCCAAGACCAAGGTCTGGCTTCCAGACCTCAAGTGGAGGTCACAGATTGTGCATTCAGGGTGGGGGGTCTCACTGCTCAGGGACACACCTGGCCTCTGCTCACACTGCGATCCTTCTTGCTTTGAGTGTGCCCAGCCTGTGCTAGGCGATCTTCTCTGGTCCTCTCACGCCTTTCCTAAGTGCTGAAGTTCTCTGGAGGCTGGTGCAGGGCCTGATCTCTGCCACCTACCTGGGGCCACTGCTAACCTGTGTTCCTCGATAGTGAGTTCCTGCAAGTTCCTGGGGTGGCTGAGCTCCAGATGTGCCCTGGGACCTGCAGGTGGATGTAGGGTTGCTGGACAGGTAGGATGGGACTCTTAATGGGTGGGGGATGTGGGGCCTTTGGTGCTTTATCCCATAGGAAAGGGTGCATGTTGTCCTAAGGGAGTCCCCAGGAAGTGGGGAGGGAGGGGGAGGAGCACTGTCTAGGTGCTGACCACCTCAAGCACTTGGCCAGCAAGTGGGCCACATGCTTTGGGAGCAATGGGTGACACAGCAGGAAGCACAAAAGACAGGCCAGTGCACCATCACCAAGGGCTGCTGAGCAGCTTGCATAGCCACTGGGTGGGGAGGGCACACCGGGAGGTCTCAGCTGGGGCTGCCCCTGGAGGACAGGGCAGGGAACTTGAGGGCTGAGGACAGAAATCTCAAATGACTCTGGGAAATAGAGGAAGAGGAGGATGCTGAGCGAGGGGCTCTGAGGGAGTGGAGGTAGGTTAGAGTGGGCTGAACTGCAGGAGGCCAGGGGGAGTCGTGGACCCCTGGAGCTGGCCAGCCCCAGGGCATTGGGGAGGAGGCCAGGTCAGAGGGAGACAGTGTGGGCCTGGCAGGTGGACCCTGGCAGAGGCCCTCTCGTCCCCCACAAGGCCAGGCCACACCAGGAGTCTGCCTGTACCTGAGCACCTGTCCTGTGCTCCTAGGCCGGAGACCACTGTGTGTCCGGTGGGGCAGTTGGCTGAATCCCAGAGAAAAACACTCCTCACTGGGCACTCTTGATGCTTGTACACACCCTGTGGTTTATTTGGTGGTCAGTAAAGAACGTCTTTGCTACTAAGTGGAAGAAAGCTAATGGAACGTAATCAAAATAGTGGTTTAATTGACGAATTTTACTTGCACCTGTGCCTTCTTCAGATCCTACCTGCCTACTTAGTTAATGTGAAGGCCGACTGCGCCATGCTCCCCCACCATGACCCCCACCACACACGACGGGGCCATCGTCATGCTAGGTGCTTGCTTTCCCCACCTCAGCTCCGGAGACGTGATGGTCTTTGGCCCTGGAGGTGTCGGCCAACCTGTCCTCCACCCTGTCCTCGTTCTCGGGCACCACCAGCAGCCGGTGCTGGGTTTTGGCTCCAAGCTTGTGGTCGGGTCGGTGGTCGGGCCGGTGGTCGGGCCTCAAGCCTGGCTTGGTGTCCAGTTTGCACTCGGCGCGGTACTTGCCCTCCCCCTCCCTCTTGAAGGAGGCAGAAGACATGGCTTTGGGCTTGGGGGGCTGCAGCCACGAGTGGCTGAGGATCTCATCGATGTGGAGCCGCTGGCTGACGTCAGGCTGCAGCATGCGGTAGATGAGGTCCTTGCACTCACAGGTCAGGTTCTTGGAGCGCGGGAAGTCCACACGGTGCTCCTTCTGGATACGCAGCATCTTCCTGATGTCGGAGTCATCGTAGGGCATGGAGCCGCAGACCATGATGTAGAGGATCACACCCAGGCTCCAGATGTCGTACACCTTGGGCTGGTAGGGGATGCCCTGCAGCACCTCGGGGGCTGCATATGCCGCTGACCCGCAGAAGGTCTTGCTGAGGATGATGCGCCCATTGCTGTCCCGCAGGCAGCGCTTGGAGAAGCCGAAGTCAGACAGCTTGATGTTGAAGTCCTTGTCGAGGAGAAGGTTCTCGCACTTGAGGTCCCGGTGGACAACGTCCAGGTCGTGGCAGTACTTGACGGCCAAGGAGAGCTGTCGGAACATCTTGCGCGCCACGTCCTCGTGCAGGGCTCCCCGGCACTTGATGAACTCGAGGAGGTCGCCCTGGACGCCAAGCTCCATGATGATGTAGATGCGCCCGTCAGAGGTCTCAAAGATCTCGTAGGTCTTGATGATGGAGCCGTGGTTGACAGTTGCCAGGATGTCCATCTCCCGAGGAAGGAATCTCTCCACAAAGTCAGTGGGTGTTTTCTTGCGGTCGATGATCTTGACAGCCACATTGAACTTGAGGCGCTCAGAGTAGGCAGATTTGACTTTTGCGTAGGAACCCTTGCCAAGATTGATGCCTACGATGTAACCCTTCTTCCTTAGGACTGTGGCATCGTCCATGGTGCCAGGAGCGACTGGCGCCGCTGCCGTCTACATCCCCCCGTCACGTGGGCCAGCGGGCATTGTCCTCATTTACACTACCGGGAGGTGTCTGGCTGGGCTGGGCTGGGCTTCAACTCAGGGGTGGAACACTCAGCATTGTCTCTGGGTGACTTCAGCGAATGAACTCATAAAGCCAAGGAGTGGGGGCGGGGACTGGGCTGAGGGGGAACAGGGTTCCTGGAACCATGGAAGCCAGGCTGGTCTGGCAGGAGCGCCCGCTCCCCACCCGCTGGAAGGAAGCCTGTCCCCAGACAGGACTGTGGTAACCCTGCTGCTGCTGCTTGCATTGGTTTCCCTGTCTGTCACACAAGTCAGGCCGGAGGGGAGGCGGCCCACGTCCAGCCTGTTTCCATCACCTGTGGGGACCGACCGTGCAGTGATCTTTGTCTCACTAGGGTGGGTTTCCTGCAGCTTCTTTGGACTATGAAAAAAAGCCCCCCTTGGGCTGTGTCCTTGGTGTGGCAGGACAGTTCTCCCTGACAGTCACCCAGACAGGCCTGCATAGCACCCCGGTTACGCAGACAGATTTCCACAGCACTGCCTTAACATTGAGCACATAGTTAAATCTAGGGAAATTAGTGCCCAGACATCGAAGCTAGAATTGAAACATACGGTCAGGAGCCTTGCATGGGCTTCTCTCTTGCTGGAGCCAGCCAAAATAATAGGAACGGTTTTACATTCCTAGTGCCAGGACCCATCTCGGGTCGACAAAATCTGAAGACAAGTCAAGGTAACAGGCAGCTGTTTGAATAGATTCATTGAATAGTCTTGAGGCAGCTCTCTGGACCAAGCTGTAAAGGAGATAAAATCAAAATAATCACACCCGTACCACAGTAGACAGGCCTTGAAGGCACTGGGCCCCTTTTAATCAGACTTAGCAAGCATTTTTTTTTTTTTTTTTTTTTTTTTTTGCCTCTGACCTACTTGAAACAAAATCGGTTACCAGTAGACTTAGGTGATTGCTAGCACGTAGGCATATAACCCCAACCTCTTTAAACACTAGGAAAATCGTAACACTTTGAGGTGGTCTGGTGGAATTATCTCCAGCCTTCTCCCTGTATCCAGTTACAGTAATAAATTCCCTTCTTTCCTAGTTTGTCTGCTTCTTGTTATTGGGCCTCAAGAAAATGCAGCTGGACCTGGCTTGGTTCTGGGAACAGTGGTACCTGGGAGGGACTGCCCTGGACCAGTCCGGCTGGCAGTGGTGCCAAGCCTGGTAGATGAAAGCAGCCCTGTGTTTGGGAGCGGAGGCGGCAGGCCCCTCAGGGTAGAGAGCCGGGCAGGTGAGTCGCTGCTGCTCCAGCGAGCAAGGGCCTGTGTATGGGTGGGTCAGCGCTGCAGTACATGCCAACTGGGTGCCCAGGGTCCAGGGCAGGTGCCTGCATGTCTGAGGGGTGGGGCAGGGCCTCCCTTGGGTAGAGGCGGCAGGAAGGCACCTGGGCAGCAGAGAGCTTGGGAGAAGAGAGGGCTTTTTCTGAGAGTGGCTGGGAAGGAGGAGGGAAGTGAAGGAGTCGGGGCTTTTTCTGTAAGTGGCAGGCCGCCACTGCAGGTGCAGGACAGGAGAAGGGCCGTCCCAGTTGTGTTTTAAGACGGTCAGTGGCAGAGAGGGAGACAGAGTGGAACTGGCTTTGTGATGAAGGTGGGGGCCAGTGCCTTCGACCAAGTGAGAGGAGGCTGGGCCAGGGTGGGCCTCGGGATCAGCAGGAGACAGAAGGTCAGGTCTGTCTTGTTTGCTAGTCTGTCAGTGGATGGGCCCTGGTGCTGGGGAATCCTGGGGCTGAGAGCACCCAGGCCGTGCACTGGGAAGAGCAGGCACCTGGGTGAGGAGGGAGTTCTGAGTCATGTCAGTTTGGGCCTTTGTGTGGAGTGAGCAGCAGTCGCCTGTTGGAACCCTGACACTGAGTATCATTTGCATCTTGGGCTGCCTTTTGCACCTGGAAACAGTGTGAACATCCTGTGTCAGGGCTGGTGTGTGGATCTGTGCTTTGGGAAATGTGGCATCCTGTACATGTCTCCTCAGGTGCTTTGGACGGATGTTCATTTGTCATCCATCACAGGCATCCTGGGTCCACAGGGAGTGGCCGGGACAGACGAGTTGTGTGCTCAGCGTTCAGGGGAGAGGGAGGAAGGCCTGCTCCCAGGTGGGGTTTAGTCCTGGAAGGTTTCAAAGAGGAAGTGATGTTGGAGCTGGGGTGCTGGGAATCAACAGACTCCATGGGGTTGACAAGAGGGGCAGGACATGTCAGGCAGATGTGACATCTTGGCCCTGGCATGGCTGTGTGAACCCACTCTGTCTGGAGTACACAGGGAGCACCCTGTGTCTGGAGGTCACTAGGGAAGATTGGAGAAACAGGGCAGCCAAAGTCAGGATGCCAAGCTGAGAGGCTCAGATGAGCAGGATGGGCCGATGTGCCCACAGTGACTGCCTTCCAGCAGTGACAGCCTCCCAGAGTCCCACCCGAATCTCTTTGTAGCATCGGTGGTTAATAGCTTTAGTTTGATGCTTTCCTTTCTCCTGGGAGTCTCTATGGCTGAAATGACCAGCACTTCACTCCTTTTTTTGTCCTAGAAGGGGCTGGCTATGAAAATTTGCAGGCCAGGACCCAGGAGCATGAGAATTCCCACTTACCACCCCTTGACCCTTTCCCTTGCTCCCCTAAATGACCTATCTGGGGCATTTCTCTGCATATCTGCTTGCCCTGCCTTTTCCCTTCCCTTCCCTTCCCTTCCCTTCCCTTCCCTTCCCTTCCTTTTCCCCTTCCCTTCCCCCTTCCCTTTCCCCTTTCCTTTCCCCTTTCCCTTCCTTTCTTTTCAATGGAGTCTTGCTCTGGCACGATCTCAGCTCACTGCAACCTCCACCTCCAGGGTTCAAGCAATTCTCATGCCTCAGCCTCTCAAGCAGCTGGAATTACAAGCACGCACCATGATGCCCAGCTAATTTTTGTATTTTTTAGTAGAGATGGGGTTTCACTCTATTGCCCAGGTTGGTCTCGAACTCCTGGCCTTAAGGGATCTGCCTGTCTCAGCCTCCCAAAGTGCTGGAATTACAGGCATGAGCTACCGTGGCCTGGCCGGATATCTGCCTTCTTGCTAGACTCTACCAATGCCTTCTCCCTCTTTTTGTGCATTCTGCTTCACCCCCTGAGTGCCTCTCTGGTCCTTGGGGGACATGCCAGAAGAGGCAGGTGTCAACATTGCAGAGGCAGAGCTGCCCAGGCATGGAGTGGGCTGCTTCATCCAGGAAGCACACACAGGGCCGGGACTCCTGGTGTGTTTGACAGAGAGGGTTGGATTGGATCTGGGGACCTCCAGCGTTGCTCCTAGGGTTGCAGTCCTGTGAGCCAGGTACCTGCACACTCTGAGAAATCCACTTCCCTCTGAACCTTCCTTTCCTTTATAAAGTAGACACCTGTTTACCCATTTGTCCCCCAAGCACTGAGGGTCTGCCCTGGGTGCTGAGGTACACTGATGAGCTAGACCACCCATGCCTTCCTGGAGCCCAGAGGCGAGGGAGGCTCAATCACGCCAAGTGTGTATGCACGATGGTGGCTGTGCCACGCCTCAGAACCATGGTGCTGTGAGGACAGGGAACTGGGGATTGGACTTTGGGAAGCTGAGGAAGGCTGAGGTCTGAGGAACGAGCCAGGTGGAGGGGGATGAGGATGGCTATTACATGTGACGGTTTGAAGGGATGTGGCTTGGCAGGAACATGGACAGGCCATGGAGGGCCTTGTTGAGGTCCTGGTCCTAGCACCTCTGAGGGTCCTTGAAGGGGTCTGAGCCAGGGCTGAGCCACCTATGGGAGTCGCCCGGCATGGCGAGGCCACCTGTGGAGGGGTCACCTGGGCCTCCTGCCCTGGGCAGTGTGATCTCAGATACTCTCTCTGAGCTGTTTCCAGCTGTAAAGCGCAGAGCAGGAACTCCTCCCGCAGCCCCTCCCACCCGGGCTCACCTGGCTGAGCTACAGTGAAGCTCCCAGACCTGCTTGCTGGCCACTCCCCTGAGGACCAGCGCAGGTCTGTGGGGATAATTGGGGAGGAGGGCCCAAGAGCCATTCCTCAGGATGTCCCACCCAGGCCCCCATCCCGGCACTCTGGGCTTCCTCTCCACCGTGAGTTTCTTGGTGGGAAGAACAGGGTGGCCCCTCGAGGCCTGTTGGCAGAGTACAGAGTGGCAGGCTGCTGAGAACCCCTAGAAGGCTTTATGGAGGCCTCAGCCCCTCAGCTGAGCCTGGAGAGCTGGACAGAGTCTGCAGGGGCAAGTTCCCGGTATGATTATGGGCCATGTGTGTGATGGGGGCACAGTGGTGAGGCCTGGTGCCCAGAGGCCAGGGGAGGATGCATTGGGCCACAGGAGGACCCCAGAGGCCAGGGTAGGTTTCTCCCCGCTGGGCAGTGGGAGCCAGGCTGGGTGGGGGATGGCTCTGGACACTGTTGGAGGTGGTGGGAGGGTTGGGGTGGAGGCCTGAAATTAAACCACGTGGAAGGGGGCTTTGGGAGCATGAGGAGGCAGGTGGACTTGAGGAGTGCAAGGAGGGCCGGTCCAGGCTCTCACTGGACCCTACTTCTCCAAGGGGACTGAGGTTGGAGTCTTCCTGAGGTAGAGAAGTGACCATAGGTAGACTGTGGACAGTGATCATGGATGCTGCTGGCAGTGGAGCTCCTCTGCTCTGACATTCTCTGTGTCCAGCACCTGCTTCAGGCCCCGCCCCGGGGGAGTGGGAGTCGCACAACTGTCCTAGCCTTGGGTTTGACTTTGGCCCCATCCACTTAGAGGCCATGGGAGAGGTGATTCTGAAAGCGCTTGTCCTTTGTGTGTGTGTCAAGCCTTAGGCCCACATAAGGTTGTCCACAGTGGGGCGAGGAGAAAGGGGCCATGGAGAGGTAGCCCTGCCTAAGATATGCACAGGCCATGCAGCACACTGTAGCCAGTGGTGCCAACTTTAGGCTCATGACCCCTGTGGGGCTCCGATGGTCAGCATTCCCTGTCCTCAGGCCAGGCATGCATTGTGGTTGCCTGGCCTATCCTACTTGCCAGTGTCAACTTCTAATGCTGGCAGGGGTGTCATCCCTGGGGACAGGCTGGGACGGGGATAAGATGTGCTCAAGACCACACACGACTGTGGGACATGCTTGGGCTGGAGTGTGGTTGGGCCATCCAGCAGAGCCTCCTACTTCTCCTGGGCTGGAGAGTGACCACAGGGTGTGGTGACCCCGGCACTGTTGAAAGCTGAGTGCTGGCTGGACACAGGGGGCCTGTGGTGGACAGAGCACAATGAACGAGTTGCCCAGCAGGGTAGGGAGCTCAGGAGTGGCTGAGAGGCTGGCCACTTGTCCTCTGCAGCCTCTTGCAACCCCCACTGGCAGCCTTGTGGGGCTGCAGAGGGCAGGTCTGCCCAGACCCTCAGTCCCAACTGTACACAGAGCCTGCGCTCCTCTGCAGGGGTGCCTCGGCACACTTCTTGGTCCTGTCCTCTCCCTGTCCTTTCCTGACCCCAGCACCGCACTTGGGGGTGTCCCTTCTGAGGCAGCAGCTTCCTCATTCAC